AAGGGTATAAAAATCCACGCCTTATTCTCAGAAAAATTTCTTTAAAATATAATAAAAAATAGTTATGCAAAATATATACCAACATATATGGACTTTTTGTCACCTAATATCACACCTTAACAATAATTGACTAAAAATGTTAGCAGTTATACATATCGATAGCTAAAATGCAAAAAGGCGTAACTAACAAAAAATTGAAAATTAACTTTTTGAATGAATATTGTGAATGTCAATAAACTACATGTGTTGAAAAAGTCAATTTCTATTTTTAATTTTTGTTAGTTTCGCCTTTTTGCATTTTAGCTAACGATATATGAATGTGGTTCTTAGACAAACAATTGTATACTATAAACCAAACTACCTTACACATTTTTTCAAATACAATACAGATTATTAATAAAAATAATTTAAATAAATACTTTTCATAGTGTAGCTCTTTGCTAGGCTGGAATCTTTTTCGTTTTGTTTTGAAAAAAAGTTGTAGTACAAATTATTATCTTTACTTTGTTGATGTTTTCTATTCGTTACCTATATAATTCTTGATTTTTTGCTGAATTTGGATTTTAGCAGTGAGTTTATTTTTTTCTTCTTTTTTTGGTCTTTGGTAATTGACATACATTTTCTCTATTCCAAACCCATTTTCGTTGCTAGTCAATACCAAAAAAATAAAAAACAGAAAACCCAAAAACAAACAAGCAAACCAATCGAACAACATGTGCTAAGTAATGAAGTTTTGTTGTTGCTTTACTGGCTACCTATATAGTTTTGTGAGAGCCAACCAAATTTTAAAGCTTACCCAGCATGAGCCAAAAGAAAGAGGAAATGCCATGTTGTTGTTTTTCCCCCTCCCTTCCTAACCATCAGCACAAATGTTTAAAATAAACAAATGCAGTTATTATTGGTTTTGACCAATAAACCAGAAAAAAAGAAACAACACCATTCAACAACTTCCCCTTGACCAGTAAACCAAAAATTAGCTGTCTTATTTTTATGGGCCTTCGACCACAAACGAACTTTGTTCGTCCGCTATGAATCAGATTTCGTTGTTATGGCCCATGGAGTGTCATTTGACTATGGGTTTCAATGGGCCGTCTTGTTGAAAATGACTTAAACATAAGTTATTAATTATTTTTATTATGTGTGAGTGTAAGGTGGTACAGCATGTGATGAAAAGGTGTTTTTTGGAAATTTCAGAATATTTTCAGACAAAAGGGGGATATTCTTGTCAGTAACAATAAATATCTTTATTTATGCGAAAGTCGTATAGAATATTTACATATGTATGTAAATATTGAATAAATTCGATTCGTATTCATGTTTCACTATTTGTTATTTTCTAAAAAGAAAAACCAGTGAGCGGAGCAGTATAGTCGGACGGGGCCGACCATGCGATACCCTACACAACTACAACGGAACTGTAACTTTCAGCGGATGTTTATTCCAAACCTGGGCAATATTTCGTGATATCTTCACCCTGTTGCCCGATTAGGGGTCAATAGCACCTCTTCCTTACACTGATATATTTTCCGAATATTACTAGTATTCTCTACAGACCTTCTAATTACTTGTCCAGATTCCCTTCACCGTGGTTTGTGTTATGATGTTCGGCTTGCAATTTTGGCATATAGATCAACTCGAAAAAAACACAAAAAATTAGTTTTCGGTCCACTTCATCCCAATATTTTTATCTGACTATCACCGAAAATTATAGGCGTTGTCCTCGACCATAACTGGAACCTCATGGAATATTTCAAAGCGATCAGCACTTTAATTCCGACCTCCAGTGTGATAATGGGTTACTAAATAATATATGAATACGTAAGCACCTGTAAATATTTATGTGTAACTCCCACATCCGAGTACATTTGACAACATAATTGGTGGCAATTTAAAGGCCAACTACTCCTCTTGGATATACTATCAACTTGTCGGGTTAATATATACGCCATAGAATACAGATTTTGTAATTTTTCACACAAAAAATCAGAGTACATTTGAACCGTAACATATTGTCCGATCTTTATCGAAACAGGCATGCAAAATTTCGCGATGTTGCGGCCATAATTGCGTCCTCTGGAGCGATTAGAAAAACCGACAAAAATTAAGTATTTGGCCCATTTCATCCCCTAAATATTGACCGAAATAGGGGCCTTATTTGGCTAGAACTCATCCTACATGCAAATTTTCGTGAAGATTGGTCCATAACTGTGGCCTGTGGCCGTGTTTACAAATTACAATGGATAGACGGACGGACGGACACAAATGTCTATTTGAATAATATATTTGAATAATCCGTACCTTCTATAGGCCCTGAAAAAAATTATTTCAACAATTCACGCCTTCTATAGGCTCTAAAAAAATTATTTGAACAATCCACGCCTTCTATAGACCCTGAAAAAAATATTTGAACAATCCACGTTTTCTATAGGCCCGGAAAACAATTATTTGAACAATCCACGCCTTCTATAATCCCTGGATAAAATTATTTAAAAATTCACTTTTTCTGTAGGCCCTGAAAAAAAAATATTTGAACAATCCACGCCTTCTATAATCCCTGGAAAAAATTATTTGAACAATCCACTTTTCCTGTAGGCCCTGAAAAAGAATTATTACAAAAAATCACGCCTTCTATAGTCCCACAAGTATTGAAAAAATTGAAAAAATCCCCGCCTTGTATATTTCCAGAAAAAAATTATTGAAAAAAAAACCCCGCCTTCTATAGTCCCAGACAGTAATAATTTAAAAAGGCTATGCCTTATATAGTCCCAGAAAGAGATTATTTAAAAAGCCACGGCTTCTAAAGTTCCTGAAAGCCCCGAAAATCATTATTAAACAACGTCTTCTATATTCATAGAAAATAATTATTTTAAAAAACCGTGTCCTATGTAGGCCCTGAAATATTTTTTTTTTTTTAAATTCACGTCTGAAAATTTCATTTTTTATTGAAAATTTCGAAACAAAAATGCACTCCTAATCAATTTAATATAAGCTTCTAGAAAATCTCTCCCCCACTTGACTTTATTACAAAATCATCTGAAATTGTTTTATGACAATCTCTAAATAAATTACATTCTCAATCTATTTCAACGGTAGATGAATTTTAACATTTAGAAAAGGGTTCTTTCAATTTTCTAAGGTTAATTTAATGCACTCTGAACACGAATGCCTGGCTAATGTCGTAAATTATAGATGAAATAATTTTAAATGGCAAAATGCATAGTAGCAACATAAGTAACCACTTAAAGTTATACATATTCCCAAAAGGAAGAAGAAGAACAATAATTAGAGGAAAAAGGGGAGATGGTAATTCCATTTTTTTTTAATTTCACAAAGAATCATAAAAAAAATTTCCAAAATTGTTATTGTAATTTCCATTCAAAACCAAGTCAACGGAAATTGGCCATAACTAAGTTAACGATAGTTTTCCTCCCTTCTAAATCGCTATTCTGCTAACATGTCATGATGTCAGGCAACTGATTTTGGTGGTAGTTGCATTGCTGTGTATATATTTCTTTACATGGGGTTATGTGAAATTAAGCAGCATAGAGAAATAAAGAAAGAAATAGACGATGAAGAAAAAAAGCTAACCACAGAACGTCATCAAGGTAACCCATAATTTAACGCAAGTTTAAGGTGTTTCTTTAGTTTACCTTCAAAGCGAACCTAGCTCCTGGTTTTTGGTTGTCGTTTTTGTTGCTGTAACTGATTGTCTAAATGACTGACTGCTTGACTGAATGCAATGACATGTAATGGATAGCTTAACGTGTCTTCTGGTAACGTATGGTAGTACTTTTTTTGCAACTTCGATGTCGTTTTCCATTGTCTTGGCCTTTAAACACCTCCATTGTCTGAACTGTTCCTCATGGGTTAACCATGCCATGTGATTGAGATCTATGTTCAAATTTTTTTCTCTTCTTTTATTATGTGTCGTAGTTATTTGGAGTAGTATAGTGTTCTGTGCGTGTTTTTGTATATATACATATCGCTTTGTGACATTTATTTTCTATTCCTATCCCTCTTTTTCAAAACAATAGCTGGAAAATGATTATGGAAATGGTGCCCCGACCCGATTAAATGAAAAAAGCAATTTGAATATGTTTGCCATGTCTGCAAGCATTTGATCTTGGTTTGACTTAGTTCAAGTTAATGGCAGCCACCTTTCGAATTGTCGTCATTATGTGTTGCACTTTCCACAATGGCCGCATTTTTTTCCATTTTTGCTTAGCATAGCTTTGTGAGCCTATCCCGTGGTAATTGATATGTTATGAGAGCCGGCACTTTTCTTTCCTATGTTTTTCCATGGAAATTACAGAGGAAGTGGAAAAGTTGTAAGAAGAAGTGTAGTATCAGATTGAGAATTCCGCTTAGAAGCAAAAAATACCGGGATCATTATATGGAGGCTCTGACAACACAGGAACCTATTTTGAGAAATCGGAGCGAAATGAATGGTGCTGAACATTTTTTCGTCAATTTCCACAAAGATGCGTTTAACCTCCAATATACCGGAATACCTGGAATGTTATCAATATTCGATACCCCATGAGAAACTGAAAAATCAAATTAGAGCCAATTAGTCGGAAAAATGTGCCCTAACTCCTTAAGATATCGAATAATGGGCCAATACCCAGAAATATTGGCCAATATTGATAATTTTGGGGAGGGGTGTTTCTACTTATTAAAATTCCAAAATATAAAAATAAAGCCAACATCGTTAAAACACGAACCCAAATCTTCAAAAAATCTGAATTTTGGGATGTAGCTTTATATGGGGAGTGGTCTATCCTAGAGTACCAAAAATTATAATTTTTAGTAGGAAGCCAGTGAGAACCCGAAATACCAATGTACAAATGAACATCTTGAAAACCGTACCTCGTATTGATAATTTTTAGAAGGGCGATTTTCTGCTAATTTATAATCCCTATATTATTTTATTTATTTTTTATTTAAATTAATGCAATCAACAATTTCTCTAATCTCTCTTCTCACTCTCTCATTTCCAGGTTCACCGTGGCACGTTGAAATCATGTCTACACCCGGTCTAACAGCATTGGGCGAATCGACTCGTCTTGTACCAGCCAATACACCGGCGGTTTTTGATATACTGCCGCCTCCTGGACAAAGCCTTGCGAAAGGCGAGTGCGTGGCAACAGTTTTGGGTCCTAACAAATCCAAACTGAATGCCAGAGTCACCCATGAGGCGGCAAATGGTGCTGCACGCATCGAATTTGTACCCACGGAAGTTGGCACTCATGTCATTGAGGCCTCCATAAATGGTACAAAAATATCTGGCGGACCATTGATTGCAAAAGTCTATGACTCGAGCTTAATACAGGTGACAGATGTTAATGGTGGTGTTGTGGGCCAGCCGTGTCAATTTCGTGTTGATGCCAGCGCTGCTGGTGAGGGACAATTGGAAATATCCATAAATGAGGGTGAGGTTCCCAATCATGTTCAAGTGGTGGGTGGTGGCCGTTGTTTGGTCTCCTTTACACCGGAACAGGCTAAACCCCATTTGATTGACATAAAATTCAATGGTGAGACCGTTCGAGGTTGTCCCTTTGTTTGTCAAGTGGCCGATACATCGCGTGTCATGTTGAATTTATCGAATTTGGAGTTGATACCGGTCAATAGACCCGCCTCATTTCACATCACTGTAAGTGGTGGTGGTGCTGCCGAATTGGCTGTCAGTGTACGTGGACCACATGGAGAGTTGCCAGTTCGCGTAACCGGTGATATACATGCCGGATTTACAGCTGAATTTACACCCACCAATGTGGGTGGCCATTCCATAAATGTTGAATACAATGGTTTCCCCGTACAGGGTACACCCTTCTTGGCTAAATCGTATGATGCCACCAAGGTGGTGGTGGGTAGTGTTTCGCGCGGTACAGTCGGTCGCCCAGTGCAGTTTACCGTCGATGCTGGTGATGCCGGTGAGGGTAACTTGGAGATTACCATTTCGGCCAAGGGCCAGAATATTCCAACACAAGTACATCCTCAAGGCAGTGCAAGGTAAGATAAGAAACACACATTTTTTTAAGAAGAAGAAATAATTTATTTTTTGTTATTATTTTTGTTTATTTTTACAGATTCTCCGTTTCTTTCGTACCCACCGAGGCATGTGAGCACACCATCAATGTTTCATTTAATAAAATGCCCGTTCCCGGTTGTCCCATCACAGTGAGCATAAGCGGCGGCATGTCCGGACCCCAGGTATCACTGGGTGGTCCCGGACCTGTACACCAATCGAATTCTTTTGTCATCAATCACAACGGCGGTCGTTTAGAGGATATTGAAGTTAATGTCGAAGGTAACGTATTGTTGTCGTTGTCATCATAGCTAGGACCTTAGAGAAATGCGAGTTTCTTAAGGTCCGGCATTTACTTTTTCAGAATTTATGTGTTATATTTTTTTACTAATCATATTATGTGAGTGTTATGGTTATGTTTAATTTTTCTTTTGTGAATAAGTTTGTTCTATTATTTACTCTCAATTGGTTGCTCTTGATCACATGTTTCTCTACAATGTCACACATTTTAATAGGTTTACGTTTCTTATTTTTCATTTTGATTGTTTTATATCTCCGTCACGAGCATGTTTTCTATTTTTACAATTTCATATACTTTTTTCCTGAAGAAAAATTGTTTGTTGTTAATACACATTTTTTCTAATATTACACTCCTAATTGCACCTGTTTGTTTACACATTTATGTATTTAATTTATAACAAATATGTGCATTGTAAAGAATGACTGATTTTGTATATTTCAACACCTTGCATCTGCATGACTCGATAGGGCATGTTAAATTTGTTATCATTTCGTGAAAATTGTTTTTGTTTTGTATAAAAATATGAGTATAGCTAAGGTTCAAAATAATGTCAAGGGTCCCAATGAATTTCTATATATATTATAAGCAGATTTAGATATCAATGCGTTCTGATTTTAGGTATCATACTCATTTTTGGGTTAGAGCGGTTTGTTTGAATTTTAAATTGTCAATATAAGTTTAACAGCATACGTCCGGATTTTTGTACATTCCGCTTTGTAAATAGGATGATGAGTAATTCCGCCGATAAAAGTTCAAGACATTTACCAAACCATTTTAAATATTTGTGTCAATGTGTAATTTTTTGGCGTATGTGGATTGGATCTTCAACAATTTTTATATTTTCTACAACTGGAGAATTACCAAATTTTGTATTCATTCTTTAGGAACGACAAGAAAAATGTCGTTAAGAAACCTCAAAATTGGTCAAATGTGTACATAGGTCGAAATTGTTGGCCAGGAATTTCGAAATACCACAAATTATATGATGGGTATGTCCAAACGTTGAAAATTTCCTGAAAACCCAGAATGGCAACAATGAGCATTCATGCCATTTCAAATATGAATATTTTTCTGTGCCTGTGTAAGTATAATTGTCATTTTTTGGTATTGCAAATGATATACATATATTTGTATTACACATTCACTACTAAGATTTTTTGTATTGCAAATGATATATAATTGGTATAGCCCCATCGGAGGGTGATACATCTTCTAATTCATTCCAATAATTATGAATATTTGTCCGTTTTTTAGTATAGCCCCCCCTAATACGGTAGCTTCCAAAATTCGCTATTTTAGGGACTATGGATACATTTTTCAACCGAGTATCTTCAGGCTACTGTTATTTTCAACTATTACTGGTATTTTAAATTATCATTGTTCCACTTTACGATACCTCCTTATAACGGTACCTCCCAAATTTCAGTATTTTATTGAGTTTGGTATTTATTGGATAGCACATATTTCTGTCAAGTATTATAAATATTGGCCAACTTTTTATGACATAACAGTACCCTTCATTATACGGCATTAGGTTTCAAATCTTCCTACCAAAAATTTACCATTACATAGACTTCAGTATATAAAAGTTCCGAACGATTACAGGTATTTTAAAAGTCTACCACTTGGTGGTGTGAATACAAAGTTCGACGATTTTTTACTTGTTTCTCATTTCGTTTGCAACAAAATTTTTGTATAATACCCCATAAAATGTATATTAGGTTGGGAAAAAAAGAAATCTATTACATTTATATGAATTATAGGGCTTCGGAATGTCCGATTTGGGCCAAATATGCACCTTTTTCTTGTATGATTTGTTGCCATTTTAAAGGTATCTTCATAATGCCTCTTTCGTAGAAGTTCACAATCCTCCCAATGCAAGAAAAATATGATAATCGTTTGATGCCAAGCTCCCGAAGTTTCTGGCGAGTCACTGTAGATGGGTGTGGCCTAGCGTTCTCCTGGTGGAACACGACACCTATCCTTTTCGACAAATCTGGCCGTTTCTAGTCAATTGCTATCTTCAAACGGTCCAGTTGTTGACAGAAGAGATTAGAATTTAGCGTTTGGCCTTATGGAAACAACTCATAATAAAAAAATCTTCTTCCAGTCCAGCTTTGTGTAAATGTTTTAAAACAGTTTTATGGTCGATGTTTAACTCCTGGGCGATGTCAACTTCGATCATATCTCCGATTTTATCGACATTTTGGACTATTTTTTCATCATAATAAAATTCTATTGAGCCGTCCTCCAACTAAAGTGGTTGTAATTTGACATTCCGTGTTCTTGGATGATGAAACATATATTTTCAGCAAAATACCATAATTTGGTCCTACACCCATATGAAAGTCCGGCCCATGTATGGTATATTGATGTATATTAAACACATTGGGCTACGTGGCTTTACAAAGGCCATACCTTGATAATTTGCGTTAATGTCGATTGGTTTTAGATATTTAGAATACCGAACTCATGGTGAAAGGTATAGAAATGTCAACTAGGAGAAATTGTACTAGGTATAGTTACAGTGTCTACACTTCACTTTATTTTAGGGCCTTCAAGATGTAGGAAACATGTTGCTGTTTTTATACCCTTCGCCACACTGTGGTACAGGGTATTATGTCTTTGTGCATATGTTTGTAACAGGCGAAAGGAAACGAGATAGATACATTGTTCCTTTTGAGAATATTCATAGAATCACTTTCTGAGTCGATTTACGCGTGTCCGTCTGTCCGTCCATGTATTTTTGTGAACAAAATTTGGCACAGCGTAATGAATTAGATCTAGAATGATGTGTTTTAAGTTTCCTGAAAATCGGTTCAGATTCAGATATAGCTCCCATATATATTTTCGTCCGATTTAAGGTAAAATGTGTACCAAAGTCCCTAAATATATTTTTCCGTTTACACGAAATTTGGAACAGCTTAATGAATATGGTCTAGAATGATGTGTGTTAAGTTTCCTGAAATCGGTTCAGATTTAGATATAGCTTCTATATCTGTCCAATTAAAAAATTTAGTATCGGTTGCGGAATGACATGTTTATGGATCCAATTTCATTTTACTGGACCTTTAAAAATGCGACGTCGGTTAGGATTCGTCTGTTGAATATACCCAAAGTGGTGAAGGGTATCTTATAGTCGGCCCCGTCCGAATTTTACTACTTTCCTTACTGGTTTTCTTTTTGAATTTTCATATTTTTAAATATCATAACTTTTTAAAGTCTCAAAATGCTTCTTGATTCCATACACCTTAACCCCTTTGATCGAAGTACCACATGTGAAAATGTTTGGATATAAATTGATGTATTACGCACGAAATCAAATTTGCTTTTGCTTTTTCATACGAAATTAAATTTTCACATGTACTATATGCATATATGCCTAATATGCCTTTACGGGTCATATTAATTAAAAACACGCACACACTTAAATACTTCATTGAGGAGAAATTGATTAAGTGTTATATATTTCAGAACCATCATTTATAAAGTTTTGTCCGCCATAATCCTTGTCATATCTTCCGACAGAGATCGTCACTCTTTTTCCCTCTGAATTATATATAATTTCGTATTTATATTTCCTAGTGCGTAGTGGATCGCAATCGCCAAAATTTCTAGTACACTTTCCATATAACAGTACCCCAAATTTTTCATTTTTCATAACAATTGCAAATTGTTGAATAAGAAAGTACCTTGCAAAAATTTGAACTACCATTTGAATATTTTTGTCTACCAGTTATCCGTAATGAACAATTTATTCGAAATTTATTAGTGTTCGAGGATAGGGTAAAGGTGGAAAAAGGACGATGAAAACATACGAATATCGATTTCTTTTCTTTGAGGACCCTAACTAAAATCTGATGAGCGGTATTTTTGTAGAATATTTAGAGACCAAAAAATGTGTTTGGTATTTAGTTTGCGGTCCATGAAAATAAGGACATAGAAGAAATACTTGTTTAAAAAAATTGTCATTTGAATGAAAGTTTCTGTATAGGACTTATCATATGGCCTCTTTTGTATGTATTCATATAGATATAGAACATGTAGGGCACGTATGCTAATTTTTAAATCATATTACTGATATGAGAGTCAAAAATTTGTTTTATTTATTTTTGAGATTTGTATATCATTTACTTCTACTATATGTTTATGTGTCTGTTGACTACATTAAATTTTTTGTAAATTGTGTGCAAATTGTTAATTGTATAATATTTTGTAAAAAATATTTTTTATTTATAAATAATATATATTTTATAAATTATTTCTCTTCTCTTTACATCTTTCTCTTTGTATTGCATTTTCAGGACGACGAAGATTATTGTACTAGACCCATACATATAAATATATATATAAATACACATATAACAAGAACAAAAACAGAAGCGAGAAAATATCTATATATAATACACCCTCCCTGAATCAATGAATAATCGAAAAAAATGAAACAAATATTTTTTTATTGTTTTTATATATTTTATATTTCTAACAAATACGGAAATAATTTTTAATTTAATTATTTTTTTCTGTTAATTAACCTGCCTGTTTTGTTTTAATTTTTAAGTTAATTTAAAAAAAAAAATCGAAAGAAAAATAATCTATCAAATATTGACGAACAAATTGAAGAAAAACAACGGAATACTAATTTCTACTTTCAAGAAACAATTTTACCATATTCTTCTTAACGATATTGTTTTCAAATTTTACTAATTTTCTTTGTATAAAGAAAAATATAACATACAGAAAAGTTCAAATTAATTGTCGCAAACGGAAAGCTAATAAAATTAAAACATATTAAAATTCGACAATAAATTATAGCAAAGGACCCTGCTACCTTCCAACTAATGACTAATTTGTTTAAATGGTTAATACAATTAAATTGTTTAACCACAAGGATTTTATATTTCTTCTTCCCTAAAATTATTTACATATATATAAATATTATTAAAATTAAAAATGAATAATGTTAATGGTTTTATTTACGAAATAAATAAAAAATAATAATATATCTTCGAGAAAACCCCCTAAAATCAACACCAATGTGTTTTCTTTTTTCAATATTTTCGCAAACAAAACATCTCTGTAGTTAGGGCAAGGAATGAATATTCTAAAAAATACAGTTACTTGAATGTTTAATTAAAATTTAATAGATAAGGTGTTAATGATATTCGGTAGAATTGTATTGTAGACGGTATTTAATTTTTAAAATTAAAAATAAGTAACAGGTCAATATTATTTATTTTTTATATTTTTATTTTATTTTTTGAAGAAATTTCTTTTGGGTTTCCGGTTAAGGTTCTTTCTTTGTAGTTTAGTGTACATTTCCTTATAGTTTAGTTAAAAATTAGGTATTTCCTTTTCTGGTCTGACGTCTTCTTTTCATTCACTCATCATCAATATTTTCCCATAGTCATCATCATAGCAATCATAATTTCGTATTGGTTCAAGGAGTTCTATTGGATTTAAGCCATTTTCAATTTAACAAGAACAAAATTAACACTATCTCCCCACCCAAAACACATCCACATGCGAAGATACCATTTATCTAATTTTATATAACATAACATTTGATTTACATTTATTTTCAAAATTTTCTTTTTTCAAAAATAAATAAAAACTCTAATATCATACATGCCAAAACATAACTCTCCAAAATACTAATACAAAATAATTGTAACACTAAATTTTGAAAATGTTGACCTACACACCTGTATGTGTGTGTGTTCTTCAAACTTCTACGAAAAAACAATATTTTTTCTAACAAAAAAAAAACACTCGAAATATTTCCATATATACAAAAATGCGCGTAACCAAAAAAAAAAAAAAAAAAACAATAAAATGAAATAATAAAAAAAAATTCAACGAAATTAAATAAATACAAAAACTACACAAAATAATAAAAACAATGCAACGAAAAATATCAAATAAAACAAAACAAACAACAAAATCATCGAAAACATCAACAACTACATTAATGTTCCTACATCAGGACCCGCTGGACAATCTGTGCCCGCACAGGTCCATCAGTCAGCAGAGGGTGTCTTCAAGGCAGAATTTGTACCACGTGTCGTTGGCGAACATCGTGTCCATGTCACAGTCTGTGGTATGGCAACGGCTGGTAGTCCATATGCAGCTAAGGTGAGTAGGCTCAATATTTATTGTGTATATTCTAATTCATTATAATAAAAGAACAACTATCTGTAAAGGATACTTTTTTAAGAGGTTTTTCTTTTTTCAAAAATATATGCCCTCCACCATAGGTATATCGATAATAACTTGAAATAAAAATATAGGGAACATACAAAAAAAGTATATTTATACCAATAATTGTACCAAGCGATTGTTGTAAACCATAATGTACTCCAAATACAACTTTCAGTGATTTTTAATGGATATTTTCCCTAAAATCGCAAAATCCCAAAATGTGGACCGGTTTTGACGGCCCATGGTTGGGTGGAACATATGTATATAATCCACAAAATACTGTAATTTAGAGGTCAAAGTTATATGAGACCATCTCCAACGTACACAGGATTATATTTCGGAGGGAGGGTTGGAAGCTTATGATTCAATATGAAAAATTTCATTTCAGGAAAAAAATTGTTTACGTACGTTCCTGTAGGCTGTTCGGAATTTCCGAACATTTGGAGTTGTCATTATATGAGTTGGTATGCCTAATTGAGGACTGATATAGCTCAATTTCGAACCTAAATGCGGGCCTCTATATATTTCATTTTCGAACCGGATGTACTAATTTTTATTTCGATATGCTCCGAAGGTAGAATGATTACAGCAGATGGCTAAATCGGCCAAATAGTCTTAGAATGTAGGGACTTTGGTGCACCATTTACATAAAATCGCACGAAAATCTATATGGCAGCTATATCTTAATCTGAACCGATTTTCACGAAACTTAGCACACATCATTCCAAACTCAATACAGTGTGCAATGAAAAATTTCGTGCAAATTGTAAGAAATCTAGGGAGTTTTGTGCAACATTTACATAAAATCGAACGAAAATATATATGGGAGACATATCTATGTCTGATCCAATTATCACGAAACTTAGCTCTCATCATTCTCGACTGAAGTCTGTACGCTACGCCACATTTCGTTTAAAATCAAAAGATATACAGGGACTTTGGTGCAGCATTTTCCTTAAATCGTTCGGGAGCTATATCTAAATCTGGACTGATTTTCCTCAATTCCAATAGGGTTCAAATTAGGATCGTAAATGTGACCTAAGCTTTGCTTACAATTTGACATGCTTAAATATGCTCAGAAAGTGATGCTATTCATATTCTCAATGTGTCTATATCGATTTCTTTTGCCTATTACAAACATATGCACGAAGACATAACACCCTGTAGCACAGTGTGGTGGAGGGTATAAAAAGGGGTTATATGGGGGGTTATTCTAAAAATAATTTTTAGGGTAGTTACCATATAACCCCCTTTAATAAAATAAGTAGTACGAATAAGAACTAAAAGTACTAAATTACAGCCAATTCGGTACAAAGTATTTTCAAAGCCCCCTAATAACTAAACATTTGGGTGTATCGTTATATGAGGGCTACCGGAAAAAGTGGACCTATATTAAAAATTTTGTAAAGGAATTTGACACCCAGAACAAGGTGCCAAATTATAACGAATTCGGTTGAAAAACGACCTCAAAATCCCCAAAATACCGAAAATTGTCTGGTACCTTTATATGGGGGCTACCAGAAAAAATGGACCTATATTTGTAATTATAACTGGAGAAATACCCAAAAAGAACAAGATGTTACAAATTTCAGCGAATTCGGTCGAAAAACGCACTTGAGAACCCCAAAATACCAGGACCGACATTTATAATTTTTAGTGGAGAAATTTGGTACCCAATAAGGAACAATTATGCCAGTTTTCAGCGAATTCAGTTAAAAAACGAGCTGGATAACCCCAAAATAAGCCCCCTATATATGGGGGCTATGCCTAAACGTTGACCGCTATAGCTCATCTTCGATTTTTGACCTGCCGGCAGACAAACATTTTGTTGATATATATAAATTCTTTTAGAGGCAATAGTGTGATTACATACAGACGGACAGGCTTTTTTGCTGATCAAGAATATACTTTATAGGGGTAGAAATGATTTTTTCGATAATTTACAAACGGAAAAACAGACTTGATATACCCTCCATGCCATGGTGGAAGGTAAAAAACATAAAATTCCGAAAAATCCATAAAAAGACCATTTACCAAAAAATTCTGCGGTATGGCGTTTGGCTTCAATTCTTGAACTAGATGTATCCTGAAAAGATTCACAACTAAATCTTAGCATATTAATTGTATAGGTCCATATATTAAAATTTACCCTAGGTCCACGATATAATTGGTCGCAGCCACTTTGCGGTATTTTTGAAGTTTAAGCCTCATTTTGCAAATAAAATACCTGTAATTTGGTATTTGTCGATGTCTTTACATTTAGTATTTTATTCACCCTCCCTTTTTTTGTCATCCATCTTTCCCTAGGTTTACGATGTTAATGCCATCAAGGTGAAAAATGTCAGCAATGGTACTGTGGGTAAACCAGTCACATTCCTCGTCGAGACATCACAAGCTGGTCCCGGTAACCTAGAAGTTACCGTGAATGGTGGCCGTGTACCAACATCGGCACAAGCACAAGGACAACATACCTACGCAATAAGCTTCACACCACGTGAAGCACAAAATCATACCGTCGAATTGCGTTTCAATTCTCAAGATGTACCCGGATCTCCGTTCACTTGTCGTGTTTCGGCAGCTGCTCGCATACAATCACCCGAGACAATGGATAAAGTTAGTGTGGGTCGTATGTTTGAATTCGTTGTGGAATCCGATACTAAACCCACAGTTGAAGTTTTGGGTCCAGCTAGACGTAGTGTACCCGTTATGATTGATCCCATCCATGTGGGTTATAATGTGAAATTTGAACCTGTTGAAGTGGGAGATCACTCTGTGGAGGTAAGACTACCAGGTGGTGGTCATGTTGAAGGCAGTCCATTTTTGTTGAAGGCCTATTCGGCGGAGAAAGTTGTTGTCACCGACATCCGACCCGGTGTTGTGGGTAAAAGTGTTAGCTTTGGCATCAATGCTAGCCAAGCTGGAGCTGGCAACTTGGAGATTATTGTTGCGGTCAATGGTAAAAATGTTCCCAATTTTGTACAATCGGAAGGCAATGCACGTTTCAAGGTGAATTTTAAACCCACCGAAGCTGCAGCTCATAGTTTGTCAGTGCGTTTTAATGGCCATCCAGTGCCTGGATCTCCATTTACATGTCACATTGGCTCGGCTCCTATTAGTTTGCCGAGGGCTATTGCCACGGGTGAGGCATTGAAACAGGCCGCCATTAGAGTGGATAATACATTTGATTTGGATGGGTTTGAGGGTATTGAGCCGCAGGTGTTTGTTACCTCTCCCTCAGGAGATAATGTACCGGCACATGTTCAACATCAAGGCGGAGATTCTTATTCGGCGACATTCCGTCCAAATGTTGTGGGACGTCATTTGATTAGTGTTACCGCTTCGGATCAACATATTAATGGTTCTCCGTTTTCATGCAATGTCTTCGATGTCTCTCGGGTCACCATCAGCGGTTTGGAGCAACAATATGGTCCCGCTGCATTGGGTATACCGGTGACCTTCAGTGTTGATGCTGCTGGTGCCGGTGAGGGTACTTTGGAATTGGTGGTTTCTACCGATACCAGCACCGTGAAGGCTGAAGTTGTGGCATGTGCCCGTGGCCTATATGATGTGACCTTTGTACCACAATCCACAGAACCGCATTATGTCAACATAACATTCAATGAAATGCCAGTTGATGGCAGTCCCTTCCAGGTGGATATACAACAAACCGCCCAGACCATACAAATTGGTAGCTTGGCCATGATTGATTTTCCATCGGATGATCAAATTGCTGAAATTATGGGTCCCGATCATAAACCTGTTCCCTACACCATCAATAGACAGACGGCAGAATTCCGCACACATATGACGGGTAATTATTTGATTCGCTTTATTGACCGTGAAACAAGGCAGCATGTTGGCACCCGTACCCTTACCGTTTTCGATCCGTCATTAGTGAAAATTACCGAAGTTGGTGAGGCTTTGTGTCATCGGCCGGCCAGCATATCGGTGTCGCTTAACGAGGCTGGCCAGGGTGATTTGTCGGCCTATGTGAAGTGTGGTGCTACCGAGGTTCCTCATACCATACGAGGACCCAGCAAGAATGGTGTCTATGAAATTGTCTATCATCCTACGCGGGTGGCTCCCCATAAGATTACTATACTCTTTAATGATGTTCCAATATCCCTAAAACCCTTGGAGATAAATGTGTTGCCTGCTGGTGTCGGCAAGGAGATTAGCGTTAGCGGACTTGGCTTATATCAAGCTAGAGTTGGAAAGACCACGTCCTTTGCCATTGATACCATTAAGCGGCCAGCAAGAGAATTTGATGTGGTCGTATCGGGTCCTGGTGGACAAGCTCTTCCCGTGCGTTGTTATCAAACCAAGAGTGGCCATTTGCAGGCTGAATTTACCATAAATAAACCCGGACAATGTATTATTGGTAAGTTTAGGAAAAAAGTTGGTACTCAGTTTCTGAGGATTGGGGGTTTATAGGATATCCCCTAAGAAATAGATACTCTGAGTCTGAATTCAGAGAATTCATTCGAACCTAACTTTGTTTATTATTGTTTTAAAATTGTATACATTTTTTAATCCTTGCAGAGGTTCTTCATCAATCCAAACCCCTACCCGGCAGTCCTTTCACCTGTGAAGCCTTCGACACATCCAAAGTTTCCGTTCAAGGTATTCCAAAAGCACCCATGGCTCTACACAGTCCCATTGCATTTACGGTACGTACCGAAAATGCTGGTTTGGCAGAATTAGAAGCTTTTGCTGTGTCTCCGACAAATCAAAATGTTCCGGTTCATATTAATGAACAATCGGAGGGTATATATAGCGTTGAGTTTATACCCACACAACCGGGTACTTATAAGCTGACACTGATGTATGGTGGAGAAACTTTGCCCGGTTCTCCGTATACATTTACCGCCTCGACAAATGGTGCTAAGACCGATACACGGGCGGCCGGTAATGGCCTGGAAGTTTGTCATCGCAACAAGGAGGCCTCTTTCATTGTCTATTGTCCCGTACAACCGAATGTTCAAATTGAACGTTCCGATGAGTTTGGCGAACGTATTGAACCCAAGATCAAGCCGTTGGGAAATAATGAATGGCGTATTTCCTATACCATTCTGTCGGTGGGTCGTTACGAAATTCGTGCCAGTTGTCCAAATCGTGGTAATTTACCCGGTTCTCCATGGCACATCTCATGTGTGGAATCCAGCAAAGTTACTCCCGTTGGAGGTTGGGGTACTCTGCTGGATCATGAAGGTCGTTTGATATTACCGGCTCGTATAGTGTTCGATGTTGAAAATGCTGGACCCGGTGAGCTGAATTGCACAATTGATGGTGTTGAAATTCCCGTTGACAAACTGCCCGATGGCAAGCTACGTTTGTACATAAGTGGTGATAATATGACACCCGGCGAGCATGATTTGGAATTGACATGGAGTGGCCTAACCATAGTACAATGCCCACGCAGTGCATTTGTTACTGGACAACAAGCGGCCGATAAAGTTGTTCTCACCGGTAGAGGTTTGGCTGCTGCTCAAGCTGGGGAGGCTGCTCATTTCACAATCGATGCCACAGATGCACCAGCCGGCAGACCAGAAGTTATTCTCGTACATCAAGATAACACATCGGTGCCGGTGAGTTTGGCTCAGCCCAGACCAAATGAAGCCATTTGGATGGCCTCCTACACACCACAGAAATCATCATCCGGCCCTCTCACACTATCTGTTAAATGGAATGGCCGTTTGGTTAAAGGTTGTCCTCTCACCGTGGCAGTTGGTTCTTCTATGGACGCCTCAAAGGTCATCTGTTCCGGTGAAGGTCTACGACATGGTATTGTTGGTAAAGACATTAAATCATGGATTGATACACGTCGTGCTGGTCCTGGTGAATTAACGGCACACTGTGCTGGACCCCGCAAGGTGGCCTATTGTGAACTATACGATCATGGTGATGCTACATTTACATTAAATATTAAACCCCAAGAACCTGGACGTCATGTTCTCACAATTAAATATGGTGGACAAAATGTCCCAGGGTCGCCATTTGCTCTTAAAGTGGCTGGAGCTCCCGATGCAAGCAAGGTAAGGAGAGAATATTTAGCAATAACATAGAATGGATAATTGTATTTTATTTGTTTTCCTAGGTACGTGTCTATGGCCCTGGAATTGAACATGGTGTTCTGGCAACCTTCCAATCCCGTTTCATTTGCGATACCCGTGGTGCTGGTGCTGGCCAATTGACAGTGCGTGTACGTGGCCCTAAGGGCGCATTCCGCGTGGAAATGCAAAGAGAATCACAAAAGGATCGAACAATATTGTGCAAGGTATGTAGGGGGCAGAGATTATTTTATTTTCTATAAAAACTTGACCTTTGCTTTTGAGATTATTTTATAGACAAAAATTGGTTCTATTCGTGGAAGATATTTTTCTATAGAAATGACACTCACCTTCCGACGTATTTCTACAGAAAAGAACATAATAATCTTAAAAATATTCTGACCTCTTGAGGTTAAACAAATGGACCTCAGTTTCTATAGAAAAATATTGCTCCAGAGTTTTTTCATCGATAGATTTTTTTATAAGAAATGGTCCTCAACTTCTGCGGATTTTTCTATTGTAAAAAACTGGATCTTAGATACTGTAGATTTATTTTCTATGGAAAAATATACTGCAGATTCCGAGGGTTTTTCCATAAGAAAAAGTGGACCCAAAAATATAAGGATTTTTCTATAGGAAAAAGTGGACCTCAGATTGGGAGACCAAAGATTCTGAAAGAAATTGAGATTCAGATTCTCTGGATTTTTTATATAAAAAATAATTCATCCCAGGTTTTGAAGATTTTTTCTATAGCAAAAATTAGACTCCAGATTCTGCGAATTTTTCTAAAGCAAAAAATTTGGATCTCAGGTTCTGAGGTGTTTTTATAGAAAATTGTGGAAATTCGATTCTGAGGGTTTTGTTTAATTGGACCTCAGATTCTGAGGATATTTTTCAATAAACAATGGTTTTCAGAGAAGGATAATCTTCTATAGAAAATGAGGACTTCGATTCTGAGAAAGACTTTTTTATATTCTGAGAATGTTTACTTATTTTTCTTCTTTAAAATAAATGGGTCCTTGGATTCTGAGAATTTTTTGAATTGGAAAAATTGGACCTCAGATTCAGAGAATATTTTCCATGAAAAAATTAGGCCTTGGAGGCTGAGGATTTTTCAGAGAAGTTTTTCTACAGTAAAATTTTGACCTCTGATTGTAATAATCCTTGTCTCTATAAAAAAAGGCCTTCAGAGGAAACTTGTCCTCACAGCTTCGATTAGATTTTGAGAATTTTTTCAATAAAAACATTGGACTTCAGATTCTGAGAAAAATTTCCATAAAAAATAGGAAAGTAGAAAAATATTCCTCACAGATAAAAATACTTCTGAAGGTTTTTTTTAATGACAAAAAAAGGTTAGACGAATTTTCCGGAATAGTGGACCCATCAAAAATATAATTCTTAATATATGTCGAAAAATTGTTACTCATAATTTTCTTCTCTCTCTCTTACAGTATGATCCCACCGAACCCGGTGACTATCGCGTAGAAGTGAAATGGGCCGGCGAATTTGTACCCGGATCACCGTTCCCCGTTATGATATTCGACACCGAAGAGGAGTTACGAAGGTTTCTTCAAGGTATATGAGGCCAACACAGCATCAGCACTATAATATTGCCAAACCCTGCCCTCAATCTCCCGCAACATCATCTACAACAACAGCAACAACAACATCATCACAATCAATCAGCCCACCATCAACAAGCATCAAATGCAGCCACACCAATTTTGCCACTATTTTCACATCACCAGCAGACGCTGCTGCGTCTATCGCCGTTATATTTAAATGGTAACGGCTTAGGCGGTTATCTGAGTAGCGTTGGTGGTGGCGGCGGCAGTAGCGGAATTGCCGTCTGTTTCGGTGATAATAGTAGTCGCGCTGCCAGCCAACAGTATCTAAGTAATCCGGATTTGACCTATGACATTGGTGGCTCACGTTCTTGTCTGAATCGCAGTCGATGTCGACAAGAGACGAGTTGTACCATACTTTGACGTACGAGTATGTGTGTGAGTTCGTTAGCTTTATAGCGAAATTTCACACAACATTTTTTATTGTTAAATTATAATTTTAATTTTATTTTTGCTATATATAGCACATTTTATTTATAAACAAAACAACAACAAACATGTATTTTATACAAATACAACGAAACTATATTTTTGTAAGACAAGTAATCAATTTTTTTGAAAAAAAACAATCTTTTTGAAATGCTTTAAATTGAAGAACAAATATTTAATATGTATTTTTTTTTTTTTGTTTCGAACGAATCTTTTACTTTTCGTTTATATATACATATATTTTCTGGCGTGACTAACTCTTAGCTTTAATAATGAGTTTTATTATTAAACAAAAATCTTTTTTTTTATTGTTTGCACATTATTATTTTTAATAATGTGACACACATTTATAATTATACTTATATATTATATTTAAACATTTTTATTTTCTTTATTAACGATGCTACATTCTGTTTGTTTATATATAAATATATATAAATAAATTGAAAATAAATATTACATTTTTTTACTATTCAATAAAGAAAATTATTTTTATTTTAAAAATAAATTATTACAATTTTATTATCTACTAATGTTGACATCATCTTTCTATAAAAAAAATCCAATAGATTGAAATTCTCTAAAAGAAAACCAGTAAGGAAAGTAATTAATTCAGTACGCTGTACCAAAATTCGAGCAAATTGTATGATTTTCAGGGACTTTGGTGCCTAATTTACCTAAAATCGGACGGATATATATATATATATATGCAACCTATGCAAATTGAACGATTTTCTTCAATTTCAATAAGGTTTCCTAAAATGCGCCAAATTTCATAAATCGGATTATAAATGCGACCTGTACTTTGTTTACAATTTAACATTAGCACACGTCATTCTACACTTAATTCAGTAACATGCATAAATCAACTCAGAAAGTGATTCTATTCATATTCTCAAAAGGAACCATGTCCCCATCTCGTTTCAATTTCCTTGTTACAAACATAAGCACAAAGACCACATTGTAGTGAAGGGTATAAAAATACTCATTTTTTTGGTTTGCTATAAACTAAAGAAAATGTATTTTTATAGGAAAAAATCTTCAGAGGTCAGAATGGTCAAATATTTTTTGTAGATGTTAAGAATATTGCCCAGAATTTGAAGACAAAGTGTTCATATGATTTTTTTGTAGAAAAAATTCTCAGATTTTTTTATTAAATGATTAACTGGTGAATGAGAATCCCTATTACTGATATTAGGGATTCTCATTGGGGTAGCCCACATATAACTGTACTCCCCGATATTCGATATTTTTAGGCTTTTGGGGACGTTTTTTGTAGACGTTAAGAATATTGCCCAGAATTTGAAGACAAAGTTTTCATATGATTTTTTTTTTGTAGAAAAAAATTCTCAGATTTTTTTTGGTTAAATGATCAACTAGCCAATGAGAATCCCTATTACTGATATTAGGGATTCTCATTTAGGTAGCCCTCATATAACGATACTCCCCAATATTCGATATTTTTAGGCTTTTGGGGACGTTTTCAACCTATTTGGTATCTTTCGTTCTCACTGTGTCGAAAATGCTGCTACTAAAAATTATCTATATTTGATTTTAGTGTAGTCCCCATACATCAGTACCCCCTAATATTCGATATTTTGAAGTATTTGATATCCTTTTTCCAACAGAATTGGTTCTTATTGGATATTAGGGATTTTCATTGACCAGAATATCTCCTTACAATAAATTATCAATATTGGCCAACATTTCCGGTATTTTCATTTAATTTTATTTTCGTGTTCTCATGGCTCTCAAATCTTTCTACGAAAAATTTTCAATATAGGTTCACGTTTTGAAATAGCTTCCCTATAACGATACTGACCCATTTTCGGTATTTTGAAGGCTTCAGCATCATTTTCTCACCGATGGAACTGTAATTGGGTATAAATGATTCATGAAGTCTGGCATACATAAATAATTATAAATATAGGTCCGCGTTTTGACACAGCGTTCTTATAAGTGTAGGGCACCGTTGTGAGAATTTTGATGGTTTTTTACACATTTTCTCGTTGTATTGACTGTAATTTGGCGTTTTGGATTATTGGATCTTTTTGCAGAAAATTGTCTTTATATGTCAAAGTTTTGATATAGCATCCATATAAAGATCCCACACCATTTTTGTATACCCTCCACCATAGTATGGAGGATATATTAATTTTGTCATTCCGTTTGTAATACCATAGATAGACGACAGCCTTAATTTGAATTAAAAAGTTCTTAAATTGAATTAATATTTACCTCTGACAGACGAGAGTTTCTGCATTTACGAAACAGTTTTTTGCTTCAAAACAATTGTTTGTCTGTGTGTAGTATGAATTTTTTTACATTTGTTTCGATATTTTTCGGGATTACATCTTTAGGAAATAGATACTTGGCATAAAGGAAGGAATAGCAACTATGATCTTAGGAAAGCAGCTCCCAATTCAAAAAATTATTGAAACTTGTCTTCATTTCTTATTTTTATTTTCATAAATATAAATAAATTTGACAAGAAACAATTAATTTTCGACAGCATTGCCATATTGAAATTGCCTAATTCAGTATAAATTCAGTTTGATTTTGTGCATTAACAACACATAAAAATGAGGATAATGTACAAGTTAATTTGAATTAACACTAGAAAGACGGGAATTTTGTATATACCTATATTGCCTAAAATCGGTCAAAATGACTTCATTCTGAAAAATTTTTTATTGTGTAAAGAAAATTTTTTAAACTATTTTTTTAATATTTGTTACATTATTTACAATCATACAAAACGTTGTTATTATTTGTTTTCGGTGGTAGGGCTCTCGGGTTTCCCCTTTTGAAAAATAAGAGCGCGGACAAAACGTTCGAAAAAAGAGGAAGACTTTACTCTAAGAGTGAAATCGACTGGAAATATAAAATTAATTTTTCCCGATTTGTGTGTTCGTATGTGTTTCTAGAGTAGCAAACGGGTTTCGATGTTGTTGTACCGATCTGGTCATATAAGAAATTTACTTTATACAGTAATAAAAGTAGTTTGATTATTTAATATTTCAAAAAGGTCAAAATGACCGCTTTTAGGCTATTTAGGTATAGCACATGTGAATACGGGGAATGAAAGAGGGGAGGAAGCAGCTACTATGATTAATAAACGTAGTTCTATGTGGTAGAAAAAGTCACCAAATTTTAAAAAGCTGAGTCATAATATACACACTTGTTTTTATACTTGAAATTTAAAAACCGTCAAAATGACTGCTCTCGGCAATCTAGTGTTAAGGCTGTTAATGCAAATTAAGGCTGTCGTCTGTCTAGGCTATAACTCATCGAAATATTCATTTCAGGGTAAAATTCTAAGACGATCTAGCCATGTCCGTCCGTCCGTCTGTTCTAATCACGTTATCTTCTGAAGGAATTGAGATAGGGTGCTGAAATTTTGCATAGGTTTGTCTTTTGTCTGCAGGCAGGTCAAGTTCGAAGATGGGGTATATCGGTCCGTTTTTTCAACCGAATACGCTGAAATTTGGTACATTGGGTTCTTATTGGCTACTAAGTGTCTCAAAAAAAAAAAAAAAAAAAAAATTATAAATATAGGTCCACCTTTTCTGGTAGCCCCCATATAACGGTACCTCCAAATATTCAGTATTTTGGGGGTTTTGATCGTATTTTTCCACCGAATTGGCTGTAATTTAGTATTTTGAGTTCTTAATAGGTACCAATCTCTTCATAAAAAAATATAAATATAGATCAATTTTTTCGGATATCCACCATATAAGGGTACCCCCCATTTTCAGTATTTTGGGGTTCTTGAGCGCGCTTTTCAACCGAATTCGCTGCAATTTGGTACTTTGTAGTCGTATATGGTAAGAAATCCCCCACCAAAAATTTTTAATATTCACCCCCTTTTTAGGGTCGTCTCCATATAACCCCCTTTTTTATATTAAAGTAGTTATAGATTTGTTCCGTGTTTGGATTTGGTTCTAAGACTCTGTTGTAATCATTTTATCTGCGGAATATACCAAAAAAAAAATAGAACATAAGGTTCGATAATTAACTTTATTTATGTTCATATATATGAACTGTAAGCCGCATTTAGACCTAGCCCCTGTGGAGTGGACCGATATCCCCCATGTTCGAACTTGAACTAATATTGAAAGAAATAATAAGTCTCAGAATTTGGAACCATAATGGGTTTGTAGAAATGTCGGCGTATGTACATTTTTTGGCATGTTCCCTATATTTTTATTTCAAGTACCTGTCAGTATATCTATGGTGGAGGGTATCCAAAGTTCGGCCCGGCCGAACTTAACGCTTTTTCATTTGTTATTATTAAGGTTTTAACCGAATATTTTTAACATCGAAGATTTGGCTTGAATACTGAATCATGTCCCTCAATAGATGGCGCTGACGACGCATTGCATAGTTGCATACCTGAATTATTTTTGCCATACAGTTTTCGGTATTGTATATTGAAGAATAGTGTTGGGCAATAGGTGCTACTATGGTCTGAGTAAGCAATTCAAGAACAAGGCCACCTCTCACCAAGCCAAGCTCACACTCTACAAGATCCTGAAGCATGGGTACTTGCGCCTGCAGATTATGCAGCTCTTGGTGTGTTTGAAAGAAAAATTCTCTGCAAGATATATGGGCCGATCTGCGTCGACGGTGAATATCGCTGTCGAATGAAACATGAGCTGTACCATCTACTCTCGGACATCGACATTCGAGCCCCAGCTCGAAAGGTGCCTAAAAGCGAACCAACTGATGGTTCACGCAAAAGGGGAAGTCCACGAATCAGATGGGATGAGCTGCGCAAACAACCGACGCGCCTAGAAATCTTTTTTAAGTCGGCTGAGTTAAATTTTAATACATTGTCGAAAATTAATATTTTATTTGGATTTTTTTGTGATGTATGCTATTTTTTTTAGGATTGTAACAATGGCTATCTTAGAACCCAACGTACCAAACAGCCAATTATATGGATAGACGTGTCCAAAGTCCCCAATATACAAAATTTTAGGGGTTTAAATATGCCTACACTGAAAACTGGACAAATATTTATAATTTTAACATCGATATTTTACAGACATGATTTTTCTCTCAAACTTCTTACACTAACTTAATTTTTGTAATAGAGAAATTGTCATATATCACCACCTGTATCTCCTTTGTATTTTACAAACATATGCCCATATATACTATTATGTACCACATTAAGATGTAGGATATTCAGGATAACCGGAAATTCGGAATTCATGCTATTAAATTATTTTTTATTTACTTGTTTTTAATTTCAAATATTTTAATAGTTTAAGAAATTTCTATTAATCGATCGTAATACTGATTTAATTTCAATTTCCGGAAGTCAAGATAACTGTCATCCAATTTCATTTAATGATTCTTAACCGATACATAACTGCTGGCTTTTCCATGACCAGAATGTTTGTAATCACCGTGTCCACCATGGCTTTGTCCATGATGATTTTCTTCCTTGGAATCATGATGGGCCTGACCGATTTTGTGTACACTAGCTTCAAAACCAGATTTCTTATCCGAAGAATAACTTACAACACGGGTTGTGCCATCAGACTCCTTGAGAGAATAACTGCCTACAAATATACAAAAATATTTTTTTATTATTGTTTATTTAAATAGTCATGAAATATATTTCAACTTACCCTTAACTTTATCACCATCTCTGGATTCCCATTGATCTTTGACGTCACCAGTTTTGGAATCCTTAACACCATATCCGAAATCATATTTTGGATGACTATGATAATCATGGTCATCATCGCCATGATCATCTCCCTTGCCATGAGCATGACCGTGATGTCCTCCATCATTATGGCCATGTCCATAATATCCGTGACTTCCTCCCTTGTGGGAGCCATGATCGCCGTAACTTCCTCCATGATGGGAGCCATCATCTCCATGACTTCCTCCTTTGTGTGAGCTTTCATGTTTAGTTACCACAGCATAACTGGTAGCCTTACCATGTCCTTCATCATGATGTTTGTGGGGCGCTGCCTCAATGATGATAACACCAATAACCACTAGAGTAACGACGGATATAAATGTACGCATTTTGTTTTTCTTTGATGTGAGCTGTGGACTCCAAAAGATAAAGTTCAACTGATACTGATCTTAAGAGTTGTTATTCGTTTTTATACTCTTCCGCTCTAAACGGTAATGGTTATTATGCAGCATGTTAATTATTACTCGTATTATTTAAGAAAATCTATTTAGTCAATGCTGGAAATTACCTCAATTAAACTATGACTTAATTTCCCTTTCACTTGAATTAAAATATTCTTACGATCTTTAACACTAGAACGCCGAAGGCCGTCATTTTGACCGCTTTCCAATTTCAAGTACAAAAGCAACTGTGCATTTAATGCCACTTTTTTTAAATATGGTGACTTTTTGTACCTCATAGAATTACGTTTATTATAAAAAATTCACCAAATTTTTAAAAAAAGTGTCATTAAATGCACAGTTGCTTTTGTACTTGAAATTGGAAAGCGGTCAAAATGACCGCCTTCGGCGTTCTAGTGTTAAATTAAAAAAAATATGGTCAAACTGAAAACGAATCTAATGAGTCCTGTAAACAATATTAAAAAAATAATAGTCTCTTGTTTATAATCCTATAAAAATCTCATGTTTTTATTCGAACTCCTATTTCATACAAGCATTTAATTCGACTGTATATTTGTATGTAATTCTGACACTTGGATTGAAAAATTAGGGTAAATTTTTCCTGAAAATTATGTTAGACTATTATGTGACTACAAACTTAACATTTATTGGAAATACGATTTTCGCCCTCGAAGAACATAAATGTCAAAACACTGTTTCCGCGGTTTGAAATTGGGATTAAAACCTTAAAAAAATTCGAAAATGGGGCGGAACCTTAATATGAGGTACCCTTTACCACTGTTCAAAACTAAAACTCATGCACACATATTTTTACAATTAAATGGAGGATATTTAAAAAATTTCGATTTTTTTTCTTCACGTGGTAACCGATATTCGGTTGACAACTTCGTACTACCGAAAATATGGCTAGACCTATATTTTTCGTAAAAAAAAATTTTATCCTCCAATATCCCAAATTACAGCCACTAAAATGGGAAAATACGGCTCCAACCTTTAAAATACTTCAAAATACCGAACATTGAGTGATGCTGTTATATTGAAAGACTACCACGAAACTTGGGATAATATTTACATTTTTTGCTAAAGAGATACTCTGCTCATTGAGAACCCCTAATAATTAATTAGAACCAACCAGTAAGGAAAGTAGTAAGGTCGGACGGAGCCGACTACATGATACCCTTCACCACTTATACATATGTATCCGAACTTAAATATGCGATCTTTATCTATATTTAAGTTCACATGCCATTCTGCAACCTATTCTAAATTTTGTAAATAGATTTAAAAGAAACTGTTTAAAATGTAATATCAATCAGGCACCTATTGATTATTTATAAGCCGTGCTAAGCTATGATATATCTATGTAAGCTATGCTATATCTTATTCCGAACCGATTTCAATGGAACTTGCAGAGATTAATTTATATTAATTTCAGTACGTTGTGTCAATCGGCCTAGCTATGGGTATTTAGTGCACAATTTACTTTAAATCGGACGAAAGTATATATAAGAGCTATATATAAATCTGAACCGATTAAAAAAAAAACTTGACACACGAAAGGTTATAGTAACTTCAGTACATTGTACAAAATTGTGTGCCGGTCGGCCAAACGTTGTGTCATTAGTTCACAGTTCATGTGGGAGTTATATCTAAATCTGGACCGATTTTCACGAAAATTAGCACACATCATTGTCGATCTAATTCAGTACCCTATGCCAAATTTCGAATCGAAAGATATGTATGCGAATCGAAAGATATATAGTGACTTTGAGCTCCATTTACCATAAATCGGCCGGCCGAAAATATATATGGAAGCTATATCTAAATCTGAACCGATTTTCACGAAACTTAGCACACATCATTTTGGACCTAATACAGTACCCTATCCCAAATTTCGTGCAAATAAAAGGATATATAGTGACTTTGGTGAATCATTTACCTTAAATCGGACAAAACTATATATGAGAGCTATATCTAAATCTGAACCGATTTTCACGAAACTTGGCAGACGTCATTCTAGGCTCAATTCAGTACGTTATGCCAAATTTTGTGCAAATCGAAAGATATATAGGGACTTTGGTGCCCCATTTACCTTAAATCGGACGAAAATATATATGGGAGCTATCAATAGGGTTCGGCCTTGGGCCAAATAAGTGACTTGTGCCAAATTTCATCCAAATCGCATCATAAATGCAACCTGCACTTTGTTTACAATTTAACATCTACAGACGGACGGACGGACATGCATAAATCGACTTAGAAAGTGATTCTATGCATATTCTCAAAAGGAACCATGTCGACGCCTCCGAACCATAGTATGCTAAGTCTAAAAAGTGAGTTTTTCAGTAGAAGCTTTCAAGGTATGGAAGTTTCTTTAATCGTACGTGCCATGCTAAGTACATTTTTGCTTATAACTTTGGTTTGGATTGGCCGATGATTACCAAAATTTCAGTGAATTTAATTTAAGGACCGTAGTATCTAAAAACGTAAATAACTTTAAAACATGCTAAGTCGACTTAGCATACTATGGTTCGGAGGCGTCGATGTGTCTACCTCGTTTGCTTTTGCCTGTTACAAACATATGCACAAGGACATAATACCCTGTACCACAGTGTGCTGAAGGGTATAAAAAATAGTGGAACAATATATCCCAAATATCCTGGAAATAGTAGCAAAGCTCTATCTTAAATTCTGCGAGCTCTATCGTGATTTCAACTGACGGACGGACCAAATATGCAAAATTTGTCCCAATGGAACAAAATTGCACCCACTTTACCAAATAGACCCTATAGTTTTAATTAAAATCTTCACAAGTTCATACATATTTTCTATATCGTCGCGAGGACATTGTCTGAATTTTGTTTTTACTATACTGATGTTCATGAACATTAAAATACCCTCAAATACTATTATAATAGGTTAGGAATTAGATACGAAAGATATATCGAATTTATGCCTATATAGTAGCATATAACCATGTATATGCATGCAAAAATTTAATGTTTACTCTACTATTTTCTGAAAGAAAAAAAAAATAAACAAACCACATAGATTTTATGTTTATCTACACTATCTATCTACAGCACTTAAATTCGAGTGAAAGGTATGCAAGTGTAGTTACTATGTTAACCTTCAATACTATTGGTAATGACCTTGTTTTATGCACACTACTAACAACAACAAAACATTTGCAATTTAATATTTCAACAATTATACACCAGCTAATTAGAAAGTACCAAAAACGAATTCTTAATCAAAACGTTTAGTTTGTGTTTAAAGTATAAATGTGCAAGAAAATTGCAGATACAGTATCAGTTCACCATTGGACCTTTGAGATCAACAACAAAAGAAGAAAAAGAAAACTAAAAAATTACAAAAAAATGCGTTCCATAATATCCTTAATTACTATTTTGGTTGTTGGTGTTTGCCTAATTGAAGCCAAACCACACAAATATCATGGCGACGATGGTGGTCATGGCAAGGCTACAAGTTACGCCATTGTAACGAAACATGAAACTGAACATGGTAGTGGAGGTCATGGAGGCCATGGTGATAGTGGCAGTCATGGATACGATGATCATTCCGAATATCATGGCTACAGTCAACATGGTGGACATGGCGGTGATCACGAAGAATATTATGGCAAGGGCCATCATGGCGGTGATGATGATGGCCATGATTATCACAGCCATCCTAAATATGATTTCGAATATGGTGTCAAGGACTCAAAGACTGGTGATGTGAAGGAGCAATGGGAATCCCGTGATGGTGATAAGGTTAAGGGTAAGTCTTAACAATTTTTTATAAATATTAAAAAAAATAATGACATATTTGTGTGTATTTATAGGCAGCTATTCTCTCAAGGAGGCTGATGGCACAACCCGTGTTGTAAACTATTCGTCTGATAAGAAGTCGGGCTTCGAGGCTACTGTTCACAAAATTGGTCATGCCCATCATGATTATAAGGAAGAAAGTCACCACGGCCACGGATATCATGGTAAACATTATTAATTGTGAGACATCAGTATATCAATGGAAACGGAATGTAGAACCCTTTTGGACATGAACTGATACTTTTTATAACAGAAAAATTCATAATATTAAAAAAAGAAATAATAAAAAAAAAAAAACGGACACACGAGTTCGTAACGAAAACAAATTCAAACATTGTACATATAAAGAAAATAAATTGAACACTTTGTAGCAACTAAATTTCTATTTTTCTGTTTCAAAGCCATAGGGGAAATGTAGACTCTAAATACACACGAATAGAGATAACCATTTGGAAATTTTATGTAGAATTTGCTGGAGGAGGGGATTATGGAAAGTGATCCCATAACTACACCGAAATTTGTAAATGATATGAGGATCAGCACATTTATTGGATGAATGGAACAAGAATTACTTCACAAATAATAGAATAAAGCTGAAATCTTAAAATTTATTTAGGAATCACTTTTGGTGTATAGGTGTGAGGTACGCAGTTGTACGAAAATTATTGTCTGAGATGATTGATTGAATTTGGAGTAGCCATAAAGATAACATCTTGAAATTTGGTTAAGTGGCTGTATTATAAGGAGGCTGTATTAGAAATCTATACTAATACAATAGTAAAGTAATTGACTGACTGACAGCAATTCATCGCCCAGACGAGACGAATGAAGTAAACATCTTGAAATTTGATAAGTAGGGTCGATATAAGGAGGAGGTTTTGAATGCGTATACCCATGTATGCGAAAAGTAGTATACTGGTCTAAATTTTCTACAATTTGAATTTGGAGAAACAGATGGATCTGGAAGCCAGAAATTTGAAATTAACATTATAGTCGGAGTGTAGCAATATGTAGGTAGTTTTAGAAATTTGTAAATGGTACAATTTGAATCCTGAAATTTGGAGTTAGGATCACTGTTGGGGTGTAGAATTGGGCTATGTTCGAAGTTTAGGAAATACATACTAATGTGTTCTAAATGGTACCCACTTTGGATTTGGGTGAACCGATAAGGCTGGAATCTTGAAATTTAAAGTTAGGATTACTGTTGGGGTGTAGAACTTTCGGAAATTCGAAATAATGTGTACTAATTCAATTTGAATTCTGTGTGATACGATAGAGCTGGAATCCTGAAATTTGGAGTCAGGGTCGCTGTTGGGGTGTAGGATTGGGATATGCAATTAGTTTTGGAAAATTGTACTAATGTGTACTAAGTGATAACAAAAGTGAATTTGGGTGAACAGATAAAGCTGGCATCCTGAAATCGGGAATTAAGATTTCCATTGCATGTATGGCATAGATAGTTTTGAAAATTCGTACTAATGTATACTAGATTTTGTACAATTTGAAATTTGTGTGAATCACCCAAATAGTGACCCTAACTGCAAATTTCAGGATTAAAGCTCTATAATCCTAAAATTTGGTGTTAGAATCACGGTTTGGGTGCAGGATTGGGATATGCAAGAAGTTTTGGAAATTGGTACTAATGTGTACTAAATGGTACCAAATTTTGATTTCAGTGAACCGATAGAGTTGGAATCTTGAAACTTTAACTTAGGAACACTGTTGGGGTATAGGATTGGGCTATGTACGAAGTTTTGGAAATTCATACTAACGTGTTCTAAATGGTACAATTATATTTGAATGAAGCGTTCGGACTGGAATTGGATTTATATTAAAGTGTACTAAACTTGGTAAAATTAATGTATTTCTTTTTCAAGATGAGCTACATGATCGGAGTTGCAATGAAAAGGAAAGCCAGAGAGTTACTACATTACCACCATTATGCGACGCGTTTCGCTATTGGTTATGCGGCACATCAGGCATATTAGGCAATGTGGCTTATAAATGTCGTTACTTGATAAGTTGTATTTATGTCGAATATTGTTGCGAAATTGCATCGACGAATTAAATTCAACCGTGTCAAAGTTCGGGCATTTGGCATTATCTGGCTTCCCTTTTCATTGCAACTCCGATCATTTCATCTCGAAAGAGAAATTAATACAAACATTTACATGAATGATCCTTCGCCCTAAAAAGACATAAACCTCAAAAATTCAGCTTGGTAAAATTAAGATTTGTGTGAACCTATATAGCTCGAATCATGAAATTTGGAATTAGCTCTGGAAAAAGTACTACAAGAGTACGAATGGTACCAAAATTAGTAGAGGACTAGGTTTGTTTTGCGATTAGAATGGGTGTGTAGTGTTTAGTTATGTATTTATTAAAAGAAATATTGAAGTTTTAAACTAAAATTTAAGATTTTGAAGAAAAAATATCTGGAGTTATCTGGGTACCTTTGAAGATTCGTAGTAGGAGAAGTATTTAATGGTACTTTATTTGGTATAATGTAACTCGGTTTAAACAGGCTTGTTCGTTGTTATTTAGTTATCTTTCGAGGTGAGCTACATAATCGAAGTCGCAATAAAAAGGAAATGTCGAATATTGTTGCGAAATAGCATCTGCGAATTAATTTCAACCGTGTGAAGGTTCGGTTATTTGACATCACACCAGAACGTCCCTTTTTTGAGCAGATTTTACTTGTAGTGACGGACTTTCTTCAATACAACCTACAATATTTATCATTTGCGAGCCTGACATCCCTATAATTGAAAATCTAAACAGATCCTAAGTTTACACTTGATAATATTTTTTATAATCTAGGATTAGGTGTGAATATGTATGACATTGAAACGTATACAAAAAATAGGCATGGGTTTGATTTTTCGCAGCGGATCCATAAAAAGGAATAATACAATATTTTTTAAATCATGTTCACATTCTTCAATCGGCATTTCCTATTCGTAGTGACGGCATTTCCGGTGACGTCCTACTGCTTATTAGTTAAAATGAAAAATGTAAAAATCATGAACCTAAATCGGAAAGGAAAAAGGAGTTCTTTATTCATCGGGAATCTCGAATGCCAAATTATAGCCATTTCGGAGTACCGAAAATGGGTCGCGTCCCACTTTATAATGGGGTTATGTCAAAAGATGGACCTACACTTCGTCGGGAAACGGCTCTAATTCTTAAAGCACACAAATAGGATAGAACCTTTATATGGAGAATATGTCCGAACATAGACCTATATAAAAACTTGTCCGCATAAATATATCCTAGCCTACGAGAACACAGGTAATGCGTCTAAAACTTTCCAATTAAAGAAGGTAGAGCAGTACTTTAATATGAGTACCATGTGCCTTGACAATTTTCTGTATATATGCCATTCTAGAAACCCTACAAAAATCGATATTAATACTTTTTAATGGGAAAATTTGACATACCATTAAAATCAAAAGTTTCAAATTATAGTCAAATTTCATGAAAAACTTGCTCGACGACCCCAAAATGCCGTTCTCTAGGGCCTACCTCGAAACATTGACCCACATGATAATTTTGGGTAGGGACATTTTTACCTAATGAGAATACAAAATATCTCGGACACCCCATTCTCGGTAAAAAAAATAATTTTGTATTTTGATTTAATTCGAATCTACACTAATTCAAGAATGTCCCTATGAAATTTCAAGTGAAAATCTCAACAACTCTTGAAGATATAGCCGATTTATTGTGCTAGCATCAAGTGACGGCAAGAGGGCTTCTCAAACTTTGAACGCATTTTTCACCAAACAGCGTTTTTGCAAATGGCGGAAACGATAACTCAAAAACTAATAATTCCATCGATTCCAAATTTTGGGACATTTCCCTGTGTGTATAGCTATCATATGAACTAGGATAAATCCAATCGGTCAAGATCTTCCTTATTTTTTTAACTTGGTTAGGCGAAAGCTGCAAAAGCTGCAGACATTTTGTTGATTTTTGAGCGAATCTAATAATCCTAGTTAATACGACAACGACAAACATAACAAAAACATTTTGTAAATTATTTTTCTTTTTCTTTAAATCTTCAACAGTTAAAAACCTTAATAAGCTTTGTTATTGATTTACCAGCCCATTGAAAATCTTGAACATTTTAAATCGGGAATGGGGGTGGGGGGATGTTCCCCTTAAAGTCAATTCTTCTAATTTCTCTTATAAAGTTTTGCACTTTTATTTGGCACTTTTTAAAATATTTTAGAACTTTCTAGCACTTTTTTAAACAAAATCTAGCATTTTTTATCAACAAAGTTTTGGCAACACTGCCTGGAACAAACACACAATCTTTTAAAGAACGACATTCTAAAAAAATCTTGATATTAAATTGTTCTATAATGAATATATAAACAAAAATTTATAATGATTAAAAATGACTTTATTTGTAACAATAAACTGCATTTCAAATGGTTTGGTTTTTGAATAAATTCTATTTCATTTAAAAACATACCATAATGTAATAAAAATGTTATTCTGAACAACTAAAACAGTTAGCACACAATAGCCGGAATGCGAATATTATGCGAAGTAGTTTAATATTAGCACAAACGTAATAAAATATTTCACAGACAAACTCGTATTTGCTGTGCCTTTCGCTTTTCGTGGCAGCTGTGAACAAACTTATCTATTAACTGACCGTTAATGTGCCCTAAATTGGTCATAAAATTGGGTTTATTTGCCAATATAGATAGGTTGCTACAAAAATTGCAGAATCGAAAAATTGCAGAATTTTAACTGGAAAAGTATTGTGAATGATTTATATATAAAATAAGCTGTGAGTTTTGATGTATCAGTATCAATTTACCATCGAACTTACTAGATCACTCAAGTACTGACTAAGAACGAATTGGACACAATGCGTTTTATTATTTCCTTATTTGCAATTGGGGCCACGTTTGCGGTCTTGGCCACGGCAGTGCCACTTCCTCATCAGGATATTGGATTGGGACATGAAACTCATGGAAAGACTATTAGTTATTCAGTTGTAACCAAACATGAAAGTAAACTTGATCATCATAAAGGACATCACGATGTTTTGGAACATAAACACAATTACCACAAGGAAAATCAAGGCCATTATGCTGACCATAAAGGATATAACCAACACGAGGCACATCATGGAAAGGCCACCAGTTTTGCCAGTGTTACTAAATACGACGACAAGCATGAGCATCATGGTGATGATGGACATGATTATCATGCAGAAAGTCATGGTCATGGCCACCACGAAGGACATCATGAAAAGGCTACTAGTTTTGCTGTTGTAACCAAACACGAAAGCAAGCATGATGATCATAATGAGCACCATGGTAATGATGGTCATAGTTATCATGCTGAAAGTCATGGATATGACCACCATGAAGGACATCATGGAAAGACTTCCAGTTATTCTACCGTTACAAAACACGAAGCTAAGCATGGTGATCATTATGGACATCATTCAGAAAGTCATGGATATGGTCATAAAGCTGAACAACACGAGGAAGATCATGGAAAAGCTACCAGCTATGCTACTGTTACTAAACATGAAAGCAAACATGATGGTCATTATGAACATCAGGGTGATGATGGACATAATTATCATGCTGAAGGCCATGGATATGGTCATAAGGCTGAACAACACGAGGAACACCATGGAAAAACTACCAGCTACGCCACTGTTACTAAACACGAAAACAAGCATGATGGTCATTATGGAAACAATTATCATTCCGGAAGTCATGGTCATGATCACCACGTTGAAAAAGAGGAACATAATGGAAAAGCTACTAGCTACGCTACTGTTACTAAACACGAAACCAAGCATGATGACCATTATGGACATCAAGGAGTTAAAGGATATAAAAACGAACATAATGATAATGGCGAAAGCCATAAGGAAGGACATGGAAAAGCTACCAGTTTTGCAGTTGTAACCAAACACGAAAGCAAACATGATGGTGATTATGGACATCACGGAGATGATGGACATAATTATCATGTTGAAAGACATGGCAATGATCATCACGAAGGACGCGTTGGAAAGGCTACCAGTTATGCTACTGTTACTAAATACGATGACAAGCACGATGATCATTACGGACATCATGGTTATCACGCCGAAGAGCACGAGGGACATCATGGAAAAGCTACCAGCTACCCTACTGTTACTAATCACGAAAGCAAGCATGATGGTCATAATGAACATCATGGTAATGATGGACACAATTATCATGCTGAAGGCCATGGATATAGTCATAATGCTGTACAACATGAGGAACACCATGGAAAAGCTACCAGCTACACTACTGTTACTAAACACGAAAGCAAGCATGACGGTCATTATGGACACCATGATCATGATAAACATAATTATCATTCAGAAAGTCATGGACATGGTCACCACTCTGAAAATGATAATAATCATGGAAAAGCTAGCAGTTTTGCCATTGTAACCAAACACGAAGACAAATATGATGATCATTATGGTCATCATGGTGATAAAGAACATCATCAACATGATTATTATGTGGAAAGTCATAATAAACACAAGGAACATGGAAAAGCTACCAGTTATGCTGTTGTCACCAAACATGAATCCAAACACGATGGTCATCATAATCACCATGATTATCATGTAGAAAGTCATGTCCATGATACCGAACACAGCAAACAGTATGGATACGAACAACTTGGTCATCTTACCGAACATCACGGACATACTAAGCACAGTCACGATGATCATCATGATCACTCTGTTGACTACCACAGCCATCCTAAATACGAATTCGAATATGGTGTCAAGGATACCAAAACAGGCGATATTAAAGAACAATGGGAGTCCCGAGATGGTGATAAAGTGAAGGGTAATAAAGAAAATTTATAATCCAAAATTATAATTTTACAATTACTGTTAATTTTTTCGTTTAATTAAATAATTTGATAATTTTGTATTTATTTTTTTATAATTTCTAGGCAGCTACTCCCTGAAAGAAGCCGATGGCACAACTCGTATTGTAAAATACACCGCCGACGAGAAGAGTGGCTTTGAGGCCACCGTACATCAAATTGGTCATGCCCAACACGATCACAAGGAATATAGTCATCATGAAGGACATAATGATTTCCATGGTCATGGGAAAGCAAGCAGTTTTGTAGTTGTTAAGGGTCACTAATTAAATAGCTATAATGATGACTACAATGGGCACACTAAGGATAAATAGATAAATGGGATGAATAAGAAGAATTAAAAACTAAATATTTAAATTTAAAACCATTTAAAATGAAAATTAGCATATAAGTACGAAATAATTTTTAAATATTAAAATATATTATTAAAGAATAAAGCATTTATGAAAAACATGGACCTGTTCGAAAAAACCAATAAAAAACCAGTAAGGGAAGTAGTAAAGTCGGGCGGGGCCGACTATATGATACCCTTCACCACTTTGGGTATATTCAACAGATGAATGCTAACAGACGTCAAATTCTGCTTCTTACAATGGGACAAAATTACCTAAAACCGGGAGAAAATATATATAGAATCTCTATCCAAATCTGAACCGATTCCAAAACTTTTCACATTTCAAAACTTTAGTACGTTGTGCAAAATTTGTGTCAAAATTTGTGTCGAAAATATATATGTATAAGCTATATCAAAATCTGAACCGATTTCAGTAAGAAGTTTAACTTATATTAACTACAGTTCATTGTACAAAATTGTGTGGCAATCGGACTAACTATGGAGCTATATATAAATCTGAACTGATTTTAGGAAACTTTACACCCATCACTCCAGACTCATTTCAGTACACTATGCCAAATTTTGTGCAAATCGAAATATGTATAGGGACTTTGGTACACCATTTACATTAAATCGGACGAAAATTTATATAGGAGCTATATGTAAATCCAAACCGATTTTCACGAAACTTAACGTGCACTATTCTAGACTTAATTAAATACGCTATATCAAATTTCGTGCAAATCGAAAGATATATAGTGACTTTTATACACCATTTACCTTAAATCAGACGAAAATATATATGGGAGCTATATCTAAATCTGAACCGATTTTCAGGAAACTTAACACACATCATTCTAGATCTAATCCATTTCGCTATGCCAAATTTCGGGCAAATCATAAGCTATATCTAAATCTGAATCGATTTTTCCCAAAATAGGGTTATATAATTAGTGACCTATACCAAATTTCATCCAAATCGCATCATAAATGCGACCTGTACTTTTTTTACAAAAATACATGGACGGACGGACGGACAGGTGGACATGCATAAATCGACTCAGAAAGTTATTATATGCATATTTTCAAAAGGAACCATCGATTATTTTTGCCTGTTACAAACATATGCACACAGACATGACACCCTGTACCACAGTGTGGTGAAGGGTATAAACAATGACTATTCACAACCACATAATTTGTTGTATTAACAAAAGTAATCCATAAATTACTACATTTGTTACCATTTAGTATGGATTTTCAAATCCACTTTCTTATACAAACTCTATGCCTATCCCACAGTCATATCAAGCATTTACACAAAGCACATAAATACAAGGGTTTCTCGGGGTTAAATAAATGAAATTCGAATGCTAATAAAAAAACTGTTTTATTATACCAGCTTCCAACCTCAGACTAAGTTTGAAGATGGGGAATATCGGCCCACACCTTATTTTGCCACCACAACATTTTGCTGAAAATTATATTTAAAATATCATGAGAATGGACTATCGCATTTGAATGAGAATGGACTATCCCATTTGAACTAAACTTTGCACGACCTATTATCTCCCCCAAGCCTAGTTCAAGTCAGAAGATGGGACCCATTGGTCCATTCCCTCTGATACTTCCCCCACAATGGTGAAAATGGTCAATATTCATAAATAAAGAATTAGACTAATGCAAAGTCCGACTTGATCAAACTTAGCACATCGTAACATTTCTTTCAAACTGAAATTATGTTCCAAAATTAAGAAAATCGGTCCAATCCTTCTGGTACCTCCCCCAAAAAATGGTTACAATTGTCCTGAAATGCATATTATAATATCATGCGAACAGAGCATCCGATTCAAACCAAATTTTGCACAACCCAATATTTTAACCATGTCTATACATTGTTGGAAGAGGGGACTTATCATTAAACTTCTTCTAGTATCTCCCCCACAAAGGCTAAAAATGTTGAAACTTTGTAAATATTATATGAAACGAATGTCATTTATTCCGATTGAGGCACGACCCTAACATGTTTCGGAACACAGATTCCTCGGCATCTACTGGTGCACCAAAGTCCCTAAAAAACATTCGATTTGCACGAAATTTTGCACAGCGTACTGAATAAGGCCTAGAATGATGTGTGCCAAGTTTCTTGAAAATCTGTTCAGATTTAGATATAGCTCCCATATATATTTTCGTCCGATTTAAGGTAAATGGTGCACCAAAGTTCTTAAACATCTTTCGATTTACACGAAATTTGGCATGACGTACTGAATTGAGCCTAGAGTGATCTCTGCAAGGTTTCGAGAAAATCGGTCCAGATTTAGATATAGCTCCCATATATAGTTTCGTCCGATTTAAGGTAAATGGTGCACTAAAGACCCTATATATCTGTCCATTTGTACGAAATTTCGTACAACGTACTAAATTGGGCCTAGAATGATGTCTGCGAAGTTAAGTTAAAATCGGTTCAGATTTAGATATGGCTCCCATATATAGTTTCGTCCGATTTCATGTAAATGGTGCACCAAAGTGCCTATATATCTTTCGATTTGCACGAAATTTGGCATAACGTACTGAATTGAGCAAGTGATGTTTGTCAGAGTGATATTTGTCATGTTTCGTAAAAATCGGTCCAGATTTATTTTCCATATATATTTTCGCCCAATTTTAAGTAAATTGGACATCAAACTCCTCATGTTAATCAGATTGACATCATATTTTGCACAACGTACAAAATTGAACATAGAATTACGCAGTTGCGTTTTCCAGAAGTACAGACATAGCCCAACGGATGACCTATTGATATTTGTTTGAAGTCGATATATATCACATATTTTATTTCATCCAATTTCATGTTAATAGTCCGGTTTAATATTCCCATAGTGGTGAAGGGTATCATATAGTCGGCCCCGTCTGACTTTACTACTTTCCTTACTGGTTTCTTAATGTGGAGGTATAGCACAATCTCATTATGTGTCAAGTGACGCTCCAGTTCAACAGATGTGTCGGTCAATGGGTCATTTTTGGTCGGTCAGGATGGCCGATGTGCGAGAGCAGGCATTGTTCTTATTGTCTTATGCTCAATGATTGGTCTTCTCTTGTTGATTTTTTTTTTTAAATTGTGGAACAACACCGAAGAAACATCCGATTATGCGGTACCTTTACGAATAACTTTCATGCACATTGTTTACAGGTTTTCAAGTCATTTTTGAGATGGCATGTCATTATTACCAAATTAGGAATATTTTTGTTAAGCATATACTTCTTGTGCCTCATTTTCGTCCGTATTTTCTTGAAGTGTATATCAAATATCAAAAGACGACATTACAACACAAATGTCTTTCAAAAGACTTTAGATAAGGCCCGCAAATACAAGAAATCCATATTACACAGTCCTTTTCCACATTTATTCGATCCTTGCTCAGTACTCATAAACTTGAGCTATGGCATATTTGTCCTTCTGGTTTCTTAATATACACACCAAAGGCTAAAATTTCAACCCCCCAACATCATGTATCACAGTGTAATATACTCGTAATATACAGTTCTAACATAGAAGAATTCTAACATAGAAAACACTAAATATTGTCAACGGCTTCTGCCTTCGAAGCATATCATTTGGCGACTACTCCGCTTGAGAAATGAGGTGGACCAAATTGAAATAGCACACCACAATTTGTGTGCCTGAAGTATTAAGAGAAATTTGACAAACGAACAAGATAGACGACTTTTTGGCTACGACTTTTTATTGGCTATTAATGGGTCGTTCACCGTACAGCCACACACATATTAAGAAAAAACTGAGTTTTAAACAATTTTCGCCAATCGAAATCCTTGTAAAAGCGTTCAGTCGCCATGTTTCGGAAGTGTCTAAATCTAGGTGAAAAATGTGCTTCGACAATTGATTTGCTCGCATAAAAAGCGTATAAATAATTGTCCTTGTTCAAAATAAAATTTAAAATGAAATCAAATTTCTAAAGTTGTTGATTTTAAATTGTTTCTTTAATTGTGCATTTTTAAGTTGATATTTAATTGTGCAGGCACATTATTGCCAATATAAAGTGAATCATAAATATAATAAATTTCAATAACCATGTTTATGAGAATATTCAGCATCCGCGTAATCATGGGTGGCTTGACCAATTTTATGAACCGTTGCCTCGAAACCTGCCTTCTTATCGGATGTATATGTTACCAAACGAGTTGTTCCATCGGATTCCTTAAGGGAATAGCTGCCTATAATTAAATTTAAATAATTAATTTTACATTAAAAAATTATTCAATGGCTCTGTAAAATCTTACCCTTCACTTTGTCACCATCTCTGGATTCCCATTGTTCTTTGATATCACCGGTTTTGTGGTCTTCAACACCATATGCAAATTCATATTTAGGATGGCTGCTATAATCTCCATCATGTTCGCCTCCATGTCCGTGATGATCTCCGTGGCCATGATAACCATCATTACCACCATGATATTCGACTTGTTCGGCATATCCATGAGAATCGGCATGATCGTCATATTTAACAACTTCGTTATCATTGTGTTTGGTTACAACGGCATAACTGGTAGCCTGTCCATGACCACCATTGTGCTCCTTGTGGGGAAGAGGTCCTGCCATAGTTAAGGCGATGCAAATGGCCAAAATGGAGAACATTGAAATTTTGGAAAACATATTGAAGATTTTGCAAACTTTAACTAGATCAACTCGAATGAGTTGTGGAATACTGATATTGATTTTGAATTTTCGTTGTTTATTTTATACTCTAACCACTCACAGTAGAAGTAAAAATGTTAAAATTTACTTTTCATATTTTATGGGTGTGCCCTGTTTCAAGGTCATCACCGAAGTATTCGTGGTCAGTTAAATTACTGAAATCTGAAAAACACAAATATAAAAGAAAATCAAATGTTTTTTTTTTAATTTTTGGTAAAAACTGAACCACAAACTTTGAATTATATATTTTGTGTATTACCATAAATGACCTTGTATAACAAATTGCTCTTGTCCAGATTACGTGAAATATTGTTATTAGTTATTTGTATACCTTATGCAATAAGAAGTAAATATTATTTATTTTCCCCCACAACACTCTATCTTTGTACTGCCCTGAATTCGATCTCATTCGATATTCATAATTTGTCAGTGACCCTAATATCGCTTTATCTCATTATTTACAAAATTTTGAACTAAAAGGTAAGGTAATGCAAATGCAGTGTATAAAGCAACTACAGTATAAAAACCGCAACGAAATTTATATTTAGTATCAGTTTGACATTAAACTTCCGTCGACTTAAAGTTCTCATAAACAATAGGCATCATGCGTTTTATAACTTTATTTTCTTGTTTGACAATTTGCATTGCCTTAACAATGGCAGGACCTCTTCCCTACAAACATCAAAATGGTGGACATGGAAGCGAACACAATGGCGAGGCTACCAGTTATGCTATTGTAACCAAACACGATGATAAGTCTGAAGAAAAAGGACATAGTTATCATGCCGAAAATCATTATGGTAGCAACGATCATGACGGTTATGGAGATGAGCATATTGATTATCACAGTCATCCTAAATATGAATTTGCATATGGTGTTGAAGATACGAAAACTGGCGATATCAAAGAACAATGGGAATCCCGAGATGGTTATAATGTGAAGGGTAATTGCTAATTTATTTCGTGTTCAAACATTGTATAACCATTTTGTAATTGTAGGTAGTTATTCTCTGAAAGAATCCGATGGAACAACTCGTATTGTCAACTATACATCCGATAAGAAGAAAGGTTTCGAGGCTACCGTGCATAAACTGGGCGAGGCTAATGGGGATCACAAGGATGCCGAATATCATGATTATCATGGCTATTAAAAATGAACAATTTAATGCATAACCTTGAATGCTTTATTTTATGTATGTACAAAAATAAATAAATAAATACATAAATAAACCAGTGAGCGGAGCAGTATAGTCGGACGGGGCCGACCATACGATACCCTACACAACTACCACGGAACTCTAACTCTCTGCGGATTTTTATTCCGAGCCTCGGTAATATTTTATGATAGTTGTACCCTCTTGTCCGATTAGAAGTCAACATCACATTTTCCTTAATCTGACATATTTTCCGAATTTTACTAATATTCAGTATAGTCCTTCTAATTACTTATCCATATTCCCTTCATCGTGTGGTTGTGGCCTATAGATCCAATTGAAAAAACACAAAAAATATTTTTTAAGGCCCACTTCATCCCAAAATATTTATCTGATTATCACCGAAAATTATAGGCCTTGTCCTTGACCATAACTGGAACATCATGGAACATTTCAAAGCGCTCAACGCTACATTTTCGCCCTCCAGTGTGGTAATGGTTTGTTAAATAATGTCTGAATACGTAAGAACTCGCATCCGAGAATATACGAAAATAAAATGGTATCAACTTAAAGTTCAGCCATTCCTCTTGGATATACTATGGAGGAGTAAATATATACGCCATAAAATACAAATTTTGTAATTTTTCGTACAAAAGTCGGGGTCCACTTGACCCGCTAAATATTGACCGATCTTTATCAAACCAGGCATGCTCATTCTTTTGCCCGATCCCCTTCTCCATGTAAAATTACACGATGTTCGGGCCATTATTGCGGCCTCTGGAACGACCAGAAAAACCGACAAAAATTTAGTATTTGGTCCATTTCATCCCCTAAATATTATCCGATCTTTACAAAAAACAATAGGAGTCTTCATTGGCATGAACCCATCCTACATGCAAAATTTCGTGAAGATTGGTCCATTACTGTGGCCTGTATAGTGTTTACAAATTATAATGGACAGACGGACGGACGGACACACATGTCTAGATCGACTCAGCTAGTCGAGATATGACGATCGGTATGCTTGAAGGTGGGTCTAGGACCAATATTTCACGGCGTTACAAACCCTTGTGGCTGCACAAAGCTATAATACCCTGACAACATAGTTATGTAGGGTATAATTAGTAGCAATTCCGTTGAAAAACGTTACCGAAAACCAGAAGGACAAATTCGACATAGGACATGTTTTAGAGTTATGACGTGCTGAATTTTTTGCTGGTTACTCTAATGTTCACGAAGCAACAACTTTATATCTTTATTTGCGGCTATTGCAGGTTCGTTTTCAGATGACATGTCTTCAGTCAATTCGAATGAGGAATATTTTTTGTAAAACATATCGCCCTTCTACTGTAAAATAAATACCAAAAAACAAGATTTATTTACCTCGAAATATTCTACAAAAATGTCTCTCAAAGTTTTTTTGATTTGGTTATCAAAGACGAGAAATCGATATTCGTATGTTTACATCATATTGATCCGGTTTTACCCGATTATTGCTCAAAAACACTCGGATTCTTCTGAAATATTTGCCATAAATAGAGGTGCCAAACCCTTCAATAACATTATTTGCAAGGGACAGATCCCGACCCCTAAATTTTCAACAAGATTTACAGATAATAGACCCGATTTTTTAAACATCTGATTAAACTTATATACATATTATTTGGAAGCCATAACCATGATTATTTGTAAGTCACAGCCATCGTGGATCTATGTTGTTACCTTTCTATTTTTGGTTTTTTTTTTTACTTAAGGGAACAAATTTGTTTGCCCCGAGAATGGGGTCACTTTAGGGGACCCCCCTTAAGTGTAGGGTATAAAAACTACAAATTTCATACTTCGGCAGAACCGGTGTTAATGTAAGGTCTCGATATTTCTACTAAAAATCAGAGGACGAAACCCCTATAAACGATTATTTCATATATGTTGCATCGTAGCTAATCATTGATCCTTTTCTTTGGAATACAAAGTGTAAAAGCCAATTTTTGTTCTTCCACAAATCCAGGAAGATGCTATTCCTTATTTGGTGGGAACGAGGGTATAAATCCAATACTTCGACATTGATAGTTACTTATTTATAGAAACAGTGAGCGGAAAAGTAATACAGAAACATTTTGTGTTTCATTCCACCTCCTAAATATCTGATTCCACCTCTGATATCTGATCATTACTGACATTCGTAGGTGTCGTCCCTGAAAATAACCAGAACCTTATGTATAATTTCATAGCGATCCGCGCGATATTTTCGCCTTTGGTATGAATTTAAAGGTCAATCACTCCTCTTGGATATCCTGTCAACTATTTGGGTCTATGTTCTTTAGGAGAAAACATATACGATCTTGATCAAAACAATAGTCATACCCTTTTCTTTGTGTTCGGGTCAAAATTATAGCCTCTAGGGCGTCCAGAAGAACAAAAAAAAAACAACTTTTTGGTTCATTTCATCCCCTAAATATTAACCGATCATTAGGGGTCTTCTGTGGCCCGATCACGTCCTACATGCGAAATTTCTTGGCCATAACTGTGGATTGGATTGGCCCATCGTGTTAAAAATTATAATGGACAAATGGACGGACACACATTTCTAGAACGACTCAGCAAATCGAGATATGATCGGAATACTAAAAGCAAAAATATTTCGCGGCGTTATAAACTCTTGGGGCCACACAAAACTATAATACCCTAATCTTCAACACCATATGCAAATTCATATTTAGGATGGCTGTGATAATCAACATGTTCATCCCCATGGCCGTCATGATCATTGCTACCATAATGATTTTCGGCATGGTAATTATGAGATTTTTGTTCAGACTTATCATCGTGTTTGGTTACAATTGCATAACTGGTAGCTTCGACATTATGTTCGCCTCCATGTCCACCATTTTGGTGTTTGTAGGGAAGAGGTCCTGCCATAGTTAGGGCAATGCAAATTGTCAAACAGGAAAATAAAGTTATAAAACGCATGGTGTCCAGATTTTTGTTTGCGAATTTTAAGACGATGAAAGTTTAATGGGAAACTGATTAATAGTTTAAATTTTGTTGCGGTTTTTATACTGTAGTTCGATTATACACTGCAATTGCATTTCGAAAAAAAATAGTTTAACATTTTGTAAATTATTGTATATTATGAAATTAAGGTCATTTACAAAATATAAATATTGATTAAAGCGAACGAGAAAATCAGGACAGTACATAGTACATTAATCAAGCGTGATAAAAGAAAATAAATAATGTTCACGTATTATTTCATTAAGGTATACAAAAAACTATTAGCAATATTTCAGAGACAATCTGGAAAAAAGCAATTTGTTGCAAGGTCATTCATGATAACCCATAAAATATAAAATTCAAAGTTTGTGAAAAAATGTAGTTCTGTTTTGACCAATAAAGTAGAAAAACATTTGATTTTCTTTTTTATTTGTGTTTCTCAGATTTAAAGTAATTTAACTGACCATAAATACTTTGGCAATGACCTTGAAAACAGGCTACACCCATAAAAATATGAAAAGTAAATTTTAACATTTTTACTTCTACTGTGAGTGGTTAGAGTATAAAATAACTAACGAAAATTCAAATTCAATATCATTTATCTACAATACATTCGAGTTGATTTAGTTAAAGTTTCCAAATGTGCTCTACAATTTCAATGTTCGCCTTCTTGGCTATTTTCATTGCCTTAACTGTGGCAGGACCTCTTCCCCACAAGGACCATAATGGTGGTCATGGACAGGCTACCAGTTATGCCGTTGTAACCAAACATAATGATAACGAAGTTGTTAAATACGACGATCATGCCGATTCTCATGGATTTGCCGAACAAGTCGAATATCATGGTGGTAATGATGGTTATCATGGCCACGATGATCATTACGGACATGAAGGTGAACATGATGGAGATTATAACAGTCATCCTAAATATGAATTTGCATATGGTGTGGAAGATCACAAAACCGGTGATATCAAAGAACAATGGGAATCCAGAGATGGTGACAAAGTGAAGGGAAAGATTCGACATAGGTTTTGAATAATTTATAAATGTAAAATTAATTATTTGATTTCAATTGCAGGCAGCTATTCCCTTAAAGAATCCGATGGAACAACTCGTTTGGTAACATATACATCCGATAAGAAGACAGGTTTCGAGGCAACGGTTCATAAAATTGGTCAAGCCAGCCATGATCACTCGGATGCTGAATATTCTCATAAACATGGTTATTAAAAATACAATATTTACGATTAAATTTTATATTTGGAATGAAGTGTTTGTAGAATTAAATATCAGCATTACAATACTTTCCCATAATGTAAAAAAATAAATGTTTAAATCTACAACTTGAGAGTTTTGTTTTTTTTATAAAATTTGGATTGCCCAATGATGTTGGTTAAAACACTTTCTATGTCATCAATTGTCGAAGCACTTTTTGCACACTGAATTAGACAGGCCTAAAATATTGACCTTAAACGCTTCTTATGTTCACGGAATTGTTGAACATGTACGATGTGAAGGAATAAAAATATATCATGTGATCCAATACAGGGCGGATGACCCATCAATGACCGGTGAAAAAGACGCTGGTTTGAGAAGATGTGCGAAAGCTAGCGTTTTTCCGGTGTATAATGATTCGTCGTATCTAGTTCGCTTTTCTAATTTCTGCGAAGACTTCAGCCAAACGAATTAATGGTCTACCACTCCAAATTGACCGTCCTTCGTTTCTCAAGCGGAGCATTCGCAACATGACATTTTTCGAAGGCAGAGTGCGTTAGGTAACGCTTAGTGTTTTCTATGACAGACATATATATAGTGCGAGAATATTACACAGTGCAACAAGATGTTTCTGGTTGGAAAATCCCTATGACAACGAAAGACCTTGGCGAGTATATTACGAACTCAGAGAGACAAATTCGCCAGAGGTCAAATTTTTCAGTTATGGTGAGATGAATTTATTTTCTGCTAACTCTAAAGTTCGGAATGCAGTTCTATTATTAGAACACTA